TTGGAATCTTGGGGAACTAATTCAAGATGTGCTGAGGAAGAGCTGAAGAGCTAAGCACTTTTGATGTCTCACCAGCCTCTCAGTTACCTAGATCTAGCTCTCTAATGGTAATTTTTCTCCAGTAGTTGTTTCTTTATTTATTTTAACAGTGTTATTGAAGTATAATGGATATCCAATAAACTGAATATATTTAATGTATCCATTTAAATAGCTTGACCATATGCATATACCCATGAAACCATCACCACAATCAAGGCAAGGTCTATCCATTGCCCTCAAATGTTGCCCCATGTCTCTTGGTGTTTTATTATCCTGAATTCTACACTCTTAAATTTTTAAATTTATAATACAGTATTATTAAGTTATTATGTTATATAGCAGATCTCAAGAAGTCACTCGTGGTGCATAACTAAAACTTTATAGTTGTTGAGCAACACCTTGCCATTTCCTTACCTTGGTTGCTGAGAACCACTGTATTATTTTCTCTCTCTTTGATTTTCAATCTTCTTAAGTAATTCATATAAATGTAATTATGCAGCATTTTTCCTTTTTGACTGGTTTATTTCACTTACCATAATGTCCTCCAGGTTCATATATGTTGTTGAAAATGGCAGGATTGCTTTTTTAAAAGGTGAATAATATTCTATACTCCCTCAATATACCACATTTTTATTCATTTATTTGTCTAAAGACAAATAAATAAATTTATGTATTTAGAAGTTATAAATTTATTTATTTATTACATTGTCTATAGGCAAATAATAAATAAAAGGTCCTGTGGCATGACCCTGCAGATATCATTTGTGAACTTGACATCAAATTTGGTAGGTGCTAAGGTTGGAGTGAGTCTGTGGAAATGAAGGAACCCTTTAACTTAGGTTATCATGCATCACTTTGTAAAAAGCACTGACAGGTAAAATCTGACCAGGGATAAAAGATGTACTTGCTTTAGTGCTCAGTAGTTCAGAAATGATAGAGTTAGTCAAAATACAATTTAAATTTTTCTACTTAGTTCTTTTGAATTCAGTTCAAAGATATAAAGGCCTGATGGTCAATGAAACATTTCCTTTTGAAGATGGATATTGTGGTCTATCCCCAGATTGTTCCCCTTAAGACCCGCATGTACATCCTTCTAGATACTGGAATACTTCAGTGTTCTCAGTGAGTCTCCTTCCTGAATTGTTCTTGTTAAGAAGCTGTTCCCTCCAAGTTCATGCTACCTTTTTGAGGGTATGCTGTCAAAAATGGTTTGTCTACTTCAGAGTATTTCTTCTCTTTTAGACAATTAAGAAGAGCTCTCTCAGGTTCATGGCTCTCATCTGTAAGGTGGTCTGAGGTTTTCCTGTAACTGCATCATATTTCAATCCTGCTTCTTTCGTTCTTACTTAGACATAATGCTGAGAGTGCCTCACAATAAACTTTCTGCACTCAAGTGTATGTCTCGGTCTGTTTCCTTGGGTTCCCACTCTGTACCACATTAGAATTCAATTTCTAGGACAGTTGGCATAAGTGGAGGACCCAATTTTAGGATCCCATTTCTAGAGAAATTAGCATAAGAGGATGCAATCTTCAGCCTTAATATATCATAGTAAAGATATATAAGTAGCTCTTTTAGTTTAGCTTTAAACCATATTTTCATTCTGTTTATTGAGGTGTATTTGCCATAACTAAGTTTAATTGGGTGTACTATTATCTTCTTGGAAATGGGTTAAAAAATAAATACATGATATTTTCTGTTGGAATTCTCTGTAAGTAATTTGAGATTCATTGAAGCCTGGTACTACTACATTTCAGAGAGAGTCTTACCCACTGTCAGTACTTATGTTGAATACCAACAATATCAGGAAAGGCTGACAATGACTATGTCTTTCCAGTTTTCAAGAAGAAAAGAGTGTGGACACCATGATATATATAAGTGAACTTGACTGTGATCCAGGACACATTTGTAAAGTAAAAATTTTTATGTGGGAATGTTGTAGCGATTGAAGTACTAGATGGAAACATGGACTTGGTGAGTGACTTTCCTGAGCTGGGCACATAACCTAAGGTTGCAGGACAGTATCACTTGAGTCATCCAGACCTGGACTGTAAGGTGCCTCTGTATCCACAATACCAAGCTTCATCTCTAGGTCCAAAGAGTTGCTCATTTTCTTGATTTCCCACTGAATGGGAAGAAGGAACAAGTAAAGCTCTCCTTCAAGAACTCAATTCCCCAACGTATTTTCCAGGGAGACCTTTTGCCTGAGTCTCCATTCTGGAGGTGGCCTGTGGAATTTGTCTTACATTGGACACAAGTAGGGAGCTGCTGACTTGATTTTTAGAAAAGCCACCCTTACCTATTGGGAACTCATGAGGATTTGTGGTGACTTACTATTGGACAGCCAATGTAGTTCTATGCTCTGGCCTAGACCAATGTGGTACAGATCAGAAGTAACAGAAGAGATTGAATGGATGAGTCATGGGTGAATTTTTTAGTCATGTGCCTAACATACTTCTTTTCTGGCAGAGGGAAAATATTTTGCATATGTGTAGTTTAAAAACCTCCTTACCAATGGCATGTTTCATAAATCCACATAATATTTGAGTTCTATCTTTGTGTTCCACGTTCCTTATAAAATGGAATATGAATAACTATGGAGAAGAAAGCAGAAAGGAAGAAATGGTAAACACAAATCTGAAACAAACTTGGAATTTAGACACGTGGAAGAGCACAGTGAACAATGTGTGCAGCATGAAAAGAAACCCACACTTGCCCAGCTTGGGGAATGCTTTCTGACCCTCTGTGTCTGGATAATTGTGACCTGGAATCTGACTGACAATGTAGTGAGTGACACAGTGTCTGCACTGAAAGAGATCTTAGAGGCCACCTGTACAAATCCCTCCTGTACAAGGAAGAAATAGAATCTCAGAGCCTGACAAGTAGCCTACTCCAATCCCACAGCTAGTTAGTAGCAACATTAAATTCTGTATCTGTGCTCTGGCCATAGCCCTCTCTATATTGGCCTGGGGAGAAAGGGAGGCAACTGTGAATTGTGATGCTCAAGATCCTAGATACTTTCAGATGTATATCAAGCTGATACATCTGAACTTTCTATCCACACTAAGTACTTCTCAGTTCTTAGCTCTGAGTCATTTGGTCTCAGACCCACATATGAAATAAAGGAGTAAATTGCTCTCCAATCCAATGCTTGTGATTCTGATACACTGTAGGAAATGCTATAGAGCAAAGTGTCCTTAAAGAATGTGGTGGCAAGATTGTAGTCTCCAGGCAATGACCTGAAATATGCCTCAGAGTGGAAGCAGGTAAAGTTTCTTGGAACAGGATCAGATATGCTGTTATAGGGACCTTTCCTTGCTTGTTGTTTCGGAAGAACGCTCTTCTCCACCCACCAGGCCTATATACATGAAGCTATGTAACAGGAGGTTTACAAAGGATCTGATCATGTTTTGCCTCTCTGCAATGAGTAGGAAAGAAGGTGGGGAAGACCGTGAAGGGTGTTTCTACCAGCATTCTATATTTTTTTTAATGGGAAAGAAACAGCTAAAGTAATTACTCTCTTATTTCTGTCCCCAAAACATTCCTTGGAAAAATGGAAATTATAGGCCTAGTTGATGTTTATGAATTTTCTTCCCAGATACCCTTCCTCCTGGTATCAATTGTTGTGGAAACCTTTGATCTCACTGATTGCCGCAAACTGTGTTCGACATTACCAATGTGTGCCTTTCTCACCTAGAGGTTTCCCTAGGTTCCCAGTTTAATCATTTCCATGGGCAGGAGTAGAAGCAGATGTAGAAATAGTGGCTATCATCACTCCTATTTTAGAAATAAATACTTGACCCATAGTTTTGTAAGAATATTTTTCTGAAATCATGAATCTAGAAAGTAGAAGAGTCAGGATTTAAATCCATGTTTTGCCTGTATAGTTTAGTCTCTTTTTAATGTGTAGTTGTTTTGTGAGGTTTTGGGGTCAGTACTGAGATTTAAGCTCAGTGTCTCATTTAACTTAGGGCCTCATACATGCTGATCAGGTGCTCTACCTCTTGAGTCATACCCCTAGCCCTTTTTCCTTTACATATTTTTGAGATAAGTCTCATTGCTCAGGCCTACTTCAGACCATGATCCTCCTACCCACTTCTGCCTCACAAATATCTGGAATTGCAGACCTTCACCATCATACCTAACCCTAATAGATGAATTTTTAAGTGGCAGAAACCTAATTCTACTCTGTCCATGCAACAGACATGGTCTTCAATGAATCATGTGATGACAAAAAATGAAAGGGAAAATAAAATCAGAACTATCTATATCCATTGCCTATTAACATATTCAGTCTAGGCTATATTTAGAGCTGAGGATCTGATTGCTATTATTTGCTAGAATTTTTCCTGCATTCTTAGGTAAGGTGCTCTGAAGGAATAGAAGATAAAAGTTTGGGAGCTATTGGAGAGGTGAATCAATCACACATGAATCCTGGACTGAAGTTCATCTCCAGCATCCTATGGTTGAAAACCACCCCAATTTCTGTCAAGAACTGGAATCTTGTGGTAAGTGGAAGATAGAGCATAAAACCATAACCTCACCTGCATCCTACCATGTTTTTTCATTCCTAGCTCATGCTTACAACAATGGTCAATAGATGGCATTTTAAATCTAGATCCTCATGGTTCTTTCTTCTCAAAAAAAGCAAGCAAAGGAACAAGCCCTGAATCTCTAAACATACTATGTTGCATGATTTCATTTTTATTATGTTCAAATTGTGCCTCTCTTTTACAAATACTGGTAAGTGAATTTACTCATTCTTTCATGTATTCAACCAATGTTTATTGAACTCTTTCTATTACATACTTTTCAACCAGTTTCAGTTGATTTAATGAAGTACTTCTGCAAATCCTTGAGCATAGACTTTTCCATGTATATTATAAGCTATTTTTGACAATTAGGAAGCAATTGAGGGTGCTGTCAAATATTGCTGGCACAAACTGTTTCTTGAGCAATGACATCAACTCCTGCAGGGATCTGGCTTAGGGGGTGGTTTTGTCTCCTGAATCTTCAAGATTGATTTGAACTGCTCCTGGGTTGAGACCAATAACCCTGTGTTCACAGCAAACAGAATCACCACCACCAAGGGGATAACAAGTTGTAGCCAGTAATACTTGCTTTGGAAAGCTAGAGTGAAACATAGATGGGACAAGAAACATATTTCATATTAGAAATTGAAGAAGGTGTTTCAGAGCTTCATCTTCCTTAAAAGAGGGGCCAAGCAGGGTCCCCCATTTTTAGTGTGATATTGCTGGAGCAAAAAGAAATCTCTCTCAGGAGATTGGGTTCCTCAGTCTGTACTTCCTGGAGTTATAAGAAGGGCTAAGTATTTCCCAGTAGCCCCTCTCTAACTGCTCCTCTAGACAGTGTGCCCAAGGGAAATTCATTTTAAAAAATGACCCCTTTCTTGGAGTTGATATTACCAGCATCCACATATGATTTGATAATAAAAGGGGAAAAAGCAGAGCCAGGGGGTTACCAGAGCTTCCCCTCTTCCCTCGCTCCCTCTCTTTTCCCTCCCTCTTTACTTTTTCTTTCTTTCTTTCTTTCTTTCTTCCTTCCTTCCCTCCTTCCTTTCTCTCTCTTTCTCTCTCCTTCCTTTCTTCCTTTCTTCCTTCCTCTCTCTCCCCCTTCCCTCCCCCTTCCCTCACTCTTTCCTCTCTTCTCTCCCTCCCTCTCTCTTCCCTCCCTCTTTTCTTTCTTTCTTTCAAAACAGATTTTAATTCAAGCTTTGCACTTGCAAAGCAGGTGCTCTACTGCTTGAGTATTGCCTTCACTCCATTTTGCTCTGGTTATTTTGGAGACTGTGTCTCATGAACCATTTGCCTGGACTGCCCTCAAACCATGATCTCTCCAATCTCAGACTCCAACGTACCTAGGATTATAGAAATGAACCATTCATGTCTAGCTGGAGCTTTATTACTTAATGAATAATGAAATAAAGATTTTGGACTAGTTATGTTGTTTTCTAATTCTACTATTTTGTGACAAAGTACTAATTTTTGTGATCATTCTAGAATTATAGAGCCCCAGAATATTACTGCCAGAAATCACATGACGATCATTGTTGAGTGATTCTCAACAATGGCTACACATTACCATCACCTGAAAGAGCTTTTAAAAATACTGATGCAGGTCTCTCCTCAAGCCATTTAAATCAGACTCTAAAGAGATGAACCATGGACATCAATATCTTTTTAAGTTCCTTAGGTGGTTCTAGTAGAGTCTAGACCAGCCCCTCTACTTTACACATGAAGATATTGGAAGATCAGAGACAATTAAATAGCACTTTGGTCTCAAATTAGCAGAGAAATGCCATTAGAACTTAATTCTGACTTTTGGCTTCATACTTTTTTTAGAGTTAATTATGAGCAGGCCAAAATAAATCTAATTACCTCTTTGCAAGATAAATCTTTCAAAGATTCCCTTTCTTACAGAAGTTTGGCTAGAGCATTTTTTTATAAGCCATAAAGATAGCCCACCTTCTTGCCCTCTTTTCATCATGACATCCCCTCATTTCCAATACTCAGGCATACAAGTTACTGAATGGTTGGTTTCCTTCCCCAACCCCCCTAAGGTAGAATGGACTCTTCAAATTCTTCACATCCTTTGTTCCTTCAACTTTGAAACTGTCTTTCAATTTGATGATTATGTGTAAGTGCTCTCCAAAGGAGCAATAGATAAGTTTGAGATCTAAACAGTAATCACAATCTATTATGTCTGGGCAGTGCTTAATAGCTTATCAAGCCATTTAATAAAATTACCTAATTAGTCTTCATAAGATTCCATAGTGTGAACAGGATTACTATTACCATTTAACAAATAAGAAATCTGCAATTGAGATATATAATATTACATAGGTCTCCTCATTGCACATTGGTAGCCTTTCCAAGCTATCACAGCTGCCCTCATTCTACTAGCTGCAAACACTGGCTCATGTGTCCTCTCCTCCTTCCCCTGCTATGGAGTATTCCTTTTTCCTTTACCAACTCACCGTTCACTACAGTAATTGTGAGGTTCTCAGAGGTATAGTGCAGCCGCCGAACTCTTCCCTCACAGTAATACGTGCCAGTGTCATTACGTGTGGCATTTGTAATGGTGATGTTTTGGTTCTCATACATGTACTTCAAAGCTGTGTTATCCTTGTAGTAGATCACCTTGTAGATTTTCAAGTTGTTCCAACCATGGCACTTGATGAAGAGGGGCTCACCCTCCATCACCACCTTAGCAGAAGCCTGAAGGAGCAACCAGTCTGAAGAACATTCATTAGGTAATTTATTTAACAGTGGATGGAGGGAAGGAAGAAGCAAAGCAGAAAAGATGAATGGATAGACAGATAGATAGATGATAGATAAAAGCTGGTCATGCATAAAATGTCAGTTATCGTAGATTGTTATTAATCCACTTCTTGGATTAATAATATGAGGTCAATAAAACAAATATAGAAGAATCCTTAGAGACTGTCATCTATACTGGTAAATCTTTTCTCCTCTTGAAAAGTCAGTGTGGAGCCTTAAAGTCTCTCACAACTTTGACCCACATATGAAAGGTCTCAAATTCAAAATTACCTTCAGATCTATTATTGTTAGTTCTAGTCACAACAATGAAAGTTTTTGCTTAGGAGAATCTATTTTGTTCTCTCTTAACTCATAAAAGCTTCCCAGTTCTGCTGTTAACTGTAGCTGGACTTAAACCTTTCTTAAAGCATGGATAGTAATTTTAACTAATTATTTAATTTCTTATTTAATGTTTTCTTCCCCATTTAACTCTGTGTTTCAGGAAGTCAGGGGCTATGTCTGATTGTACGTCATACCTCACTGTTTAACACAATGCTGGGGAGGAAGTAGGTAATCAACAAATATTTGTTAACAATGAGTCAGTAAAAGACAAGAATCAGGATTAGCAGCCAGTGCCATGATAAGAATTGTAAAGCATTCATAAAAGGACAATTTTAAATGAGAATATGGATAACTTGTGCGAGCATATTTTACTTAGGAAGACTTCTCTAGAATGTACTGCAAGAAATAAAGAAGCTATTCTACATTGTTTTAGTTTGTATTTAGAATTGGCATATGGATGCTAAAACATCTTTCACTTGAGAGAAAAATGTAAAGTATAATAGTGACTTATCCACCCAAAAGAAATCATTAATTTGTTCATTCAACATTTACTGATTAACCCCCAAATCCCTAAGTATGTTCTGTTAATCATTGACAGTAGGAAAGTGATAAGGATAAAACAAACATAAAAATTGTGTTGACTAATAGTAGAGGACATAAGTAGTATGCACAGATATCTTTCATAATGAATCTAAATTTCCAGATAATGGCATATGAATTATTCAGAGCAAATCTTTAAGTCAAAGCCTTTGATCATATTCCAGATACCAGCTCTTTGCAGTGTCCATATATTCACCACGCCACTTGCCCACATAACACACATCTGTGTCTAGATAGAAAAGATAGAGGAAAGTAGACTATAGGAATAATACTGAGAGGTGACTTGAACATTGAAAGTGGTGTAAGGAGTGAGTATAGACGAGAGATGAAGCCAGGCATGATGGTACACACCTGTAATTAAGCACTAGGAAGGCTGAGGCAGGAGGATCTCAAGTTTGAGTCCAGCCTGGGCTATGTAGCAAGCTCCAGATCAGCCTTGGCTATACAGTGAGATGCTGTCTCAACTAACACACAAACAGTCAGACAGACAGGCAGACAAAACCAAAGAAGAGAGTTGGAGAGGTGTTGAATGAGAAGCCCCGAGTCCCACCCTGGTGTTCTCAGTCTTGGAATAACTTACTTTCTCCCTATGTTCAAATAGATCATTTCTCACATGGGAGATGTATATTTCCATATTCCTAGAACTTACCACTGAACACTTCCAGGTACACAGGTTCACTCTTGTACAACTTTTTCTTCTGACATTTGTATTTTCCACTGTCTTCAATGCTGGCATTCACAATGTGCCAATATGAAGTTGTCACATCTGAGATGATGCCATTGTGGATCCACTTAGTGGGGCTGTCTTCGAGGGAATTGTTCCCATGACATATAAGAGTCACATTCTCTCCTTTAAATATTCTACTCCATGGTGGGTTCAAGGACACTATAGATTTCCGAATGGCTTCAAGAAGATAAAATTATGGAAAAAAGTGTAGAAGTAAAAAAAAGGGAGCATTGAAAACTTTCCAGGCTCAAAAGTCCACACATATCAATAGTCTATCAATGGTTAATCTATTCTTGTATTGCTAGTGATAAAATCCTGACCCTGATTCCTAGGGAAAGCCTCAAAGAACAGAGAAAACAGTTTTGTGGCCTTAAGGAGTTCCCAAACTAGGGAGAAATGGACACAAATTCAGGAGATTTAAAAATGAACAAATTAATTTACTGGATGACTTGGAATAACTCACTGTAATTCTTTTAATTTCAATTTTAGTATCTGTAAATGAGAATAAAAATTTCATTGCAGGTACAGACAAAATCTGTCATACTCTATCATCATTCAGTACAATGGCTAGCACATAGTAGGAGTTCACTAAATACTAATTTAGTAAATGAATGCAAGAATAATGTATAGGAACATAATAGAGTAGATAAAATGTAAAGTTTTTCTAAGTTCTAAATTTTTACAGCTATTTTACTGTGAGTATATATAGAGTGCAAAATATATGTCTATCCTGGAAGGTAGTGAGAAGCACCAAGAGAGCCATTCTTGAATGGCTTCCAGGAACAAAGAGATGTGGTACAAATTTGAGCAGTCTAAGTTAGTGGCCAGATGGTGATGACAAAAGGGTGATATGGTCAAAGGAGAACTGTACTTGGACCAAAGGTGTTATCTTAGAATCCAGTCCTTTGTTAGCTATACAACCACCAGCAAATCACTTAATCTGAGTTTCAGCTTTCCCAATAAGTAAAATAGCAATAATAATAGTATGAAATTGAATTAGTATGTGAAAGGCCTGGAAGAGAATCTAAGACACATACATGTGTGACAAACATGGTTATTGGCTTAAACAGAGAAGGAGACGATTTGAGAGAGTGAAATGGTATGTGAGAAATTTTGAATAGGGGAAAAGAAGGAAGATACAAGACAGAGATGAGAAGTGGACTGGCCAGGGAAACACAGATATACATTAGAAAACAGGAGTGATGGCATGAAGGCAAACAGAGAGGGAGAGCAATGTTCTTGGCAATGCTGAGGAAACAAGCAAAGGGTACTCACCTGCTCTCATGCCATCTGGAGCTGCAAAAGTCCAGAGAGGATAAATTAGCATGTAGCCCCAGTCTCTGGGACTCTAGAGGATTGGGAGCTGCATATGGGGATGAGATCCATATCCATGAAGTTTAAAGGGCCAAACATCTTCTCAAGAATCTGACACAGGGAAGAAACTTTTCTCATTCCTTTATCCTCTTTATTGGTAGGAATCCTGTACTCTGGGAGATACCAGAGGATTGCAAGGAACCAAGCTCTTAGTTTGACTTCCCCCTTAGATGTTGCTCAGCCCAGTTTCCTCTGCTTTCCAGCTTGTCTACTCCAGAACCCTGAGAAGTGACCCATGGTTTGCATATGTACTAGAAAAAGTCAACACAAAATTGTCAAACTTCCCACACAGGTCCCTTTCTGGAGGGTTAATTAAACCTCTACTTACATAAAAGCAGCAAAGCTACCCACAGCAGGGCAAACCTTTTCATGGCAGCAGCCATCTTCTCTGTGCCTCCAGGTGCTAACTAGGCTGAAGAGGTCTATGGTTTCGAAAATAGGCTTGAAACCAAAAAGGAGAAGGAAATGTTTTCTGTATCATATCTGGTTAACTCATCAGCTGTTCCTGGGCTTGCTGCTCTCTCCAGAGATAATATTAAGGGTTGTGCCAAATTAGGCAACCCTAATTTTTACCCCTGTATTCTACTCCTAATTGCACCTCCATATGCACATCTGGACTGATTGGTGAGAGAGGGTATGTCCTCTGCACAGTCATAGGACTTCCTCAAAATGTCAATCAATGTTTGACTGTTTAACTTGCAACTTTGAAAAGTGGAGTATAAGGAAGAACAGAACAAAACTACAATTACTCCTTAATACATGCCAGGCATAACGCTAAACACAGCTGATATTTCTCAGAAAAATCTCTGAATTAGGTATTATTACTATCTATTTTATATTCGTAGGATACAAAGTTAAGTAACTTGTTTTAGGGTACTACCTAGTAAATTGCTTCAAACACATAAAATCTAACCCCAATTCAAACTCTTAACCTTCTTTTTTTTTTTTTTTTTTTTTGGTGGAGTTGGGTTTGAACTCAGGAGCTTTCACTTGCTAGGCAGGTACTCTACCACTTGGGCACGCCTCCAGTCCTAACCTTCCTAATATACTATTTGTGCATGTCCCAGAGTGTGACTAACAATTGGTGAAATGTCTTTGGGGTTCATCTGAACTACCAATCCTCTGGTTACTTAATTTCACACTGATCTATTTAGTCTACAAATACAAACTTTTCATCTGAATCACTGATGACCCACAAGCTGATTGGCCAAATTAGAGATATTTTCTGACTCTTCCTCCACTAGGTCCTGTTCTGGCTCATAACACAGGAAGGCAGATGCTAGCCATTACTTATAGGGATTCAGGCATCTTAATTTTATTTTTCTTCCCAGCTTTGGTCAATTATTAATTTTATAATCATTATGCATGTACACCATTTCTCCTTTAAATATATGTCAGTTTTTTTCTTCTCCACAACCTATTTAACTACTTCATCAGTTTTTCAGCTCCAGTTCAGTGTTGATCCCCTTCTAGGATTTGATACTGACGATGCTGCTGAAGATGATAACAACATAAATACCTATAGTGGACTGCCATTTTATATGCAACATTAATTTGATACTTACCAAAATTCTGAAATAGGCAGGAACAGCATGCCTAAACATATGACTTGGCTGAAGTAAGTGAGGCACCATTGTACCACACCATGTTCTTCAGAGACTAGAGTTAAATCTACTGAAATAAACACAAAGTCACTCCACATAAAGATTGATCAAAAATCTCCATTTTCCATGGAATTAGGGAACATGGAGCTAAAAATATTCATAAATAGATAAAAAAGTTCAATGACTAGTTCTAGGACATTCAGTATTTTAGTGACAGATGTCAAAGAAAGCAACAAATCTTTTGAAAAGTAAAAGTTTAAAAAAAAACAAACCACAGCCAATTTTATTCAAGTGTTCCAAAATTTATACTAAGTATGTTAATTGCTTCTAAAATATATGTTGCCATTTATATAATGGCTTGATTATTTTGTTTGTCTTTTATACTTTTTTCATCTTTATGGTTCTTCAGTAGAAGCCAGAATCTTGGGTTGCCCAGTTAGGAGCCTCTGACCTACTATTCTGATTAAGTTTCTTTTCAATATTCATGGCCAACATTGAAAAGTGAAAGTTGATCAGCAGTATTCTATGCTGAGGATGAGGTGATTTTTTTTTTTGTTTATTTCGTCTATGTTTATTCAGAACACAATTATATGGTAAGAATATAATTTTTTCACAGAGTATATAAGGTATGATTGAATGGAATTGTTTCTTAAAGAAAGGGCTATGTCATCAAATATGGCTGAAATAGTTGTCCTCTTTTGTCTTAAAAGATTTGCAAAACATGCTATCTAAAACAATATGAAAAAAATCTTCAAAAAAGGAACATGCTTAATTTTATCTAAATTTTTCTTCGAAATATGGAAATGTCACTCTGTGTGGTTCTGTTGAACCATTCCATAAAATGGTGGAGTATTTTGAAGTAGTATTTCTGACCAAGTATTCTGATAAATTGCTAAATGTATGAAATCTATATCTTGCTTAAACATGTGCATGAAGGATGGAGGAACTGACCATGGGAATAACAACAATGGAGGAAAATGACACAAAGAATACCATGTGCTAAACTGTGCTCTGTACAGGTCAGTCATCAGGCTTTCCCCATAGCTCAGTCTATCCAGTGCCTTGGCCCTTCTTTACTTCTCCAAAATAGGGAAGAAGAAGGACCAATCTGCTGACTGCTTCTTCTCTAAGTTCTGTAAAACCAAGATAAATAATATTGGATATAAAATGCTGAAAGAGCAAAAATAACTATATGATCATGGTATGTACCTAATAAATATTGATCTCCCTCTTCGGATCAATGATAAGGAAAAGTATGCCACATGTCTTATCTATTTTGCTCTTCCTACCAGCTCTATGTGATTAAGAATGAGGAAGATAAATCATAAAAAGGTCATGTAGCTTGTTGAAGATTTGTAGTTGGTAAGTAAAGAGTTAGGTGTTGAACTCAGGAAATCTGACTGAAGGGCTCACACTCATTACCATATAGACATACACACAGACAGACAGACAGATGGGTAGATCAGATATCTGTAATTCATTAAGCCTACACATTGAGAAGCATGTGGATTCATGTACCCACTAGAAAACTCTTTGATTACCAAGTCCATAATCCAACAAATAATAATCATTGATCTAGTTAATCTTAATAATTCTGCAAATTCCTTTCCTCAGTTCAGGGGATATCTTCTTAATCCATAACCACAGGATGTTGTTGGCTCTGCTCGGTTAATTATGTGCATTTCACAAACATTTCTAAAAAGAAAACAGAAAAACACTTGCCTTTTTTTCCTCTAGATTTTTAGGGCCAGGAAAGCATCAGCTCAGTCTTCTTCCTTCTGCCTCTTTGAGTAGAGGCTGCTCAGGAAAGAGCACGCATACCAGATGCCAACTCTTTGTTAGATTTTTCGCATTAAAGTCAGTGGCTTTAACACTTTTCACTTCTTGCCTTGACCTGAGTGGTTGACTACTTTGGGTTCAAAAAAAACAAACTGAAAGAAATAAATAGAAACTTCCAGGACTCCCAAGTAAATGCCACTCAGAAAGAGGTGAAGACAGGGATTAAACAAGTTGAAACCATGGGTACAGATAGTGATTCTTCACCCAGGAAAAGAAAAATGAGACTTTAAACAATAATACCAAAGATGATCTTTTGCCTTCCATTTTTGGAGACTAATGTCTCTTTAACATAGATGGAAAAATCAGGTTGAATTTTGCACAGAAATTGAATTTGAATGGATACTAGCTGCAAAATGTATTTCTAGCACCTGATTTAAAAAAACAAAACAAAACAAAATAATACCACTCAAATCTAAAGGTGACCATATTATTTCTATATTATAAATTGGTATAGCTGGAGATAATATATTATAGGTTGTTATAGGCAGGTCCTACCAGATTTACTTACTGACTATTGTCAGCGAAGCCAAGAGGATAAAGGATTAGATACATGTTCATTTTCTGAGTGGACATGAAAATTCAATAGGTTGGGAAAAGCTTTGCTGCAATTCCTGGGTACTCCTCTAAACTATAAAGTACAGAAAATTGTTCTATAGGCTCCTTAAATTCCCTAAATTTTCTCAGGGCTGGACACTAACTGAGCATAATCTATTTTATGTCATAGTTTGTTTTATTGTGTGTAGTGTTGGAATCTCTGAAATCAAACTGTGTGATTTCAGGGTGAGGCATCTTATAGTTAAGGGAGCAGTCTAAGGTACTCTCAAGTGAATTGACTGTGACCTTTGCCTTATAAACATTGTGTCTTCCAGTCCGGGACCCAAAGGGCTTCAGACTTGCCTTCACGTTTTCCAACAAATGAGACATTAAGTGAGCCGATCTGTCCTTCAAAATGGAAAGAGCTGTATTATAAGCCTACTGAAGAAGATTCTCAAGGGACATGGTGGTAAAAGAAAGTTTTAAAATTTTCAGAATATTATATTAAATTCTAAAAATTAAAAGAAAAAGTGAATTATTAGCCATGCATACTTCACAGAAATTAAGTGCATAATTAATTAAGAGTCTAGGCTATGAACAGGCTCTTGAGTTTTATTCTCAGCTCACATCCCTCATTGAGTATGGGGCTCTCTCAGGGTACTAAATCTCTTTGTGTCAGTTGCTTCACCTGTAAAAAGAGAGGCAGTAATAGTACCTATTTGTCCTAAAGTGTGAGTGTTGCATGAGTTTATATAGTGAAGTGCTCAGAACTGAACATGGCAGACAGAATGGCATGCTGTCTGCATTAGCTGTTACTGGTGTGATGATCATTTCATAATGAGACTTTGTGAGGCTTTGGAGTAGCAGAGAAGACTCTGGCCCCATTCTCCTGCCAATGAGACTGATTCCTCCTCACATACACAAGCCTGCAGGAGTAAGGACAGGGAGCCAGAACATCCTTACTAGGTATGGTTCTAGACAGATAAATTCCAGTTTTGCAGTCAGCCCTC